AGAGATTGGAATGCAAAGGGTAGGGAAGATCTCTTTAAGAACTGGGTTTTCTAATATGGGTTGCAGCTGTTTGAGGATTTTCCATATAGGTTCCAGGGAGGGATGATATGTTATAACTAGTGGTGTGCGATTCATGGGGGTTTTCTTTCTGTACTGCAGCAATTCTTCACATGGTATCCAGATGACTCTTTCTATCTCTCTGGAGGAGTGTCCTTGTTGACTAAAAGCCCCTTTGAGATTTGTGATCATTATTTGTCACAATTTTTCCATCTATTTTAGTGGTCTAATAAAAGATATTGGATTTACCCAAAGAACCTTGTCTACCAGAGCATGGATTAGTAATCTAATGTTGATCAGGAAAGAGAATAATCCATTAACGGAAAGTGTCCTATTTGAGAACACTATCACATGCACTATTTCAATGGAAGGTAGCACTGGGCTCTTGCTATTTAATATTTTCATTGGCATGGTAGAGAAGGCATACACAGTGAGTCATCATTAGATATTCTCACAATAAGTAACCAGATCTCCTAAGTGAAATTATACAGAAAATCAGTTATAATACTAATTAAAGAGGGAACTCTGTGCTGTACCCATCTCCATCCTCTAAAAAACTCCCACAGGGCAGAATCAACTCGCATATGGACCTGAGATACTAGAACAGGCACAAACAGGTCTCTGATTGTACCAAAATGAGATTCATTACAAGTAAAAGTTAAATCACACACATAAGGGAATGGAATACATGGAATAGACAGCTGTCCCACAATTCCTATCTGCAAGGCAATCAGTCTGAGAAAAACCTACTTGTAATAGTAGATACTAAGTTTTAGCATATGAACTTGTAATGCAATGCCGTTGCCAAAATGCCAGTGCTATTTTTGAATATATATATGGGAAGGTCATATGTAAAGCTGTGGGAGATAACATTTTTCACATCCCAGTACAGCTGGCATATCATATTCAGTCCTAGTTCCCACAAATCAATATACAAAATACAAATAATGGCAGAAGAAATTTACAAGGATTGGAAGAAAATATTTGATAATGAAGTATTCATAGTTTGGAAAACAGAAGACAAGGGGACATAAATAGTGTATAGGTACCCACAAGTTAGCAGTTTAACTAAAAGAAAGGAAATGTTCAGTCTCAGGAGAAATTTAGACAAATACCAATGGATAAAGGTAAGGAAAGAAGACATGTAAACTACATCTTGGACAAAAATTCCTAACTTATAGCAGTTGGACTGGATTATAAAGGAAGACATTTAATTCATAGGCAAATGGGCCATTATTTAGACTTGGATTGTATTCCTTTTCAGTTGTGCTGTTATTTAGATGATATTTAGACACCCATACAGGTAGCTGTAATTTGATTTGCAAAATGTTCTGTTACATTCCATGACGCTCCCAAGTTATAGAACTTCAGGATTTCTTCATTAAGAACGTTCTGTTAAGGCATCATCCCATGGCATGTAGAGTTAAGGATTATAAAAGGCACTAATAGAAGGAGACAGAGGAGGAAAGTGCAATAAGTTCTTTGAAAGAAAGAAAAAGCCCCCCTAGAACTGTGCTACTGGGAGATTTCTGAAGTGTTAATGCCTTTTTAAGCATCTGTCATTTTTGCTTGGCCACAAGGGGCCTATTCTTTACTGCATTGTACTCTTGTAATCATTTATGAACAATTAGGTATTGTTTTAGGCCACGTCTATACTTACCTGGTAGGGGTGTGCAAAATGGGCCCTATTCAATTCAGATTTGGTCCAAATCGGGGACAGTGATTCAATTTATAGATTCGGATCACTGTCCGATTCGATTCAGCCGAATCCGAATCTGAAGATTTGATGCTGATTTGGAGAATCAATGATTCGGACAGACACAGCTTTAAATGTTTTTTCTACAAACTTTGCAGTACCAGCTCAGCTTGTGAACGCTGCAATACTGAGGTGGATGGAGCATCCCACCGGAGTGGGGTGGGCCCCCACATGCTCTGCGGCAAACCCAGAAGTGGACCCAGAAGTGGACCCGTACTTCTGGTCCACTTCTGGGTCCACTGGGGAGCATGCTGGCCCCCCCCCCCCCGTGCTTCCCCAGCTCAGTGATTGGCCATGGGGGACCCTGGGTGCCCCTCCAGACCCAGGAGGCACGAGTCACTGAGCAGGGGAGGTGCAGGGGGGGCCCCCCATGTGCTCCATGGTGGACCCAGAAGTGGACCCAAAGTGCTTCCGGTCCACTGCTGGATCTGCTGCCAAGTGTGCTGAGGGCTCCCTGTGCTCCTATGGGACGCTCCATTCACCCCAGCATTGCAGCATTTATGAGCCGCCTGCTACTTAGAGTTATGTAGAAAAAACATTTAAAGCTGTGTCTATGTCCAAATTGCCAAATCTTTCTGAATCTCTCCGAATTGATTTGGAGGATTCCAGTTCAATTCGGAGAGATTAAAGGGTCCTCTGATTTGATTTGGGTTCAGAGGTTCAGCCACCAAATCAGGCTGAATCTTTGCCGAATTGAATCAGGGACGAAAGCTTTGCACAACCCTATTACCTGGCTCTCCTTGGACAGACAGCAGTTGCTACCACCAAAGGGGAGAGCACATGCATACACAGGAGCCTCTGGTTGCTCTGCCAAGTCTTACTCCATTTACTTCCCTCTATGCTAAAGTATGGCCAAGGACAAAAAAACCATAATCCTGACCTGTGGCAAGGAACTTTGAGCACAGCTCATGAGTTAGGAGATGCATACAAATATAGTTTAAGTCTTGTTTATGATTTTCCTAGCTCATGTGAGCTGCTTTGATGATCTGTCCAAGGTGCCGAGGGCAGCAGCTGTTCTGACAGGTGGGGTTGGGGGTCTTTAACAGAGCATTGGGCACATCAGCTTTCTCCCACAATCTGCTCCAGCAAGAGATTCACCCTCCCCCTTCCAGGGAGAAGCTGATTACACTGGCCACATACTTGTGTGTAAAGGTACATACTGTTTGACTTGTTGTGTCTCTGTTTACCCATCTTCCATTGGTACACAGCTGGAATCTTATCAGTCAGTGAGAAACTTCAATATATATTCCTTAGATTAAGTTGAGAGAGAGAAGAATATTGAATAAAACAGTGGAGGGTGAGGAGGGCAAAGGCAAAGAGGTAATCAGATGGTGGAAGGGAAGAGGTGACTGCCCCCCTTGGTGTGCCTCCTGCCCCCTTGGTGTGCCAGATTGCCCTTTTTAACAATATTTTGAAATCCGATATTGTAAAAACTGAAATGTAAACTATTTATGAAAGCAAGTGACTTGTAATAAGCATGGTGTTAACACACAGCTGCTGAAAATGTAAGTGGTCTCCCTAGAGATGAGAGAAGGGGTCCAAGGAGCACAGAAAATGCTGGGAAAAATGTTAAAACATCTCATTAATAAATTATTAATCTCATTTGTTCATCATTATAAACTTCCCATGTGCTTTTCATAGAGGCAGGTTCATTATGCTGACAGAATGCAGCTAATTTTCCTGTGAGATTTTTAAAAGGTGTTTCAGTGGTTGAAATTTAAAATTGATACAGATTCAAATGACAATGAATAATACCAGACTCCAAGTAGGTTTATGCTGGTGACTGGCCAGGAAGCCAAAGGAATCAATTTGCATACAGTGGAGCCACTTGTAACCACCCTCCTCTTTAATATGCAGCCCACAGTGAATAGATGTTCCAACATATGTCCCACGATGATTCATGTGGCCTGGGTTTGAGCAGCGCTGTCTACTGAGGGTCGTTTTCCTGTAAAACAGGAAAGAACAGAAATGTGGCATATTTTAATACCACTGCAGCTTCATATAACATCTCAAGACTTTGCCACCCCTTCAGGCCACCTGGTAGTTAAGAAGACCTTTTGTGTAGATAGTTGCTCAGGAACTGTCTGCTCTTAAACAGCAAGATAATTACATTCAGAAGTGTGGTACTCCAGAACAGAGTATAAGAACAGCTGCCCCAGTAAAATAACTTTCTACTAATAATCGGTTATTGTTTATTAAGATATTATTTATTTGACCTAGATATTAACCTTAGTCAATTTGTATTGTGAATTACCATATGAAGTCAGCTTGTAGTGGGATACTATCGATTCACAGTAAAGTTGAGTTCTGTATAGGATACAATTTATTCTTTTTATTGGGTGGGAATCCTATCCTTGAGCAATCTACATATTCTAAATTACAGAATGACAACAATAAAATAATGCTTTCAGAAACTATTTTCTGTAGGTAGCATGTTGATTTAATCCTGCCTTATTGAGTTACTCACATTTGATGCAACAGTGGCAGTCAGTGGCTAAATCAGGTTATTGCTGTCTTCAGAATGTCATGTTCCTTGAATTTTGTACTGAAAAATATCAAAGAAATTGTTCTGAAACTGTTGAGTGATATCTAAACAAACTGTTTTTAATTAATTCTAATGAAATTTTGAAAATAACTCAATTGTGGCCTATTCAAACCTGTATTGAATAAGCAAGACATAAATAACAGCAGTAAGAGAAAACTGCATTCTGTATATATATGGTACATTAACATATTATGTATTTTCTCTGAAGGAAGTAGAAATTCGAAACAAGGACCTCGAAGGACAGCTATCTGACCTAGAGCAACGGCTGGAGAAAAGTCAGAATGAACAAGAAGCGTTTCGCAATAACTTGAAGACACTTTTAGAAATTCTAGATGGGAAAATCTTTGAACTAACAGAATTACGTGATAACCTGGCCAAGCTAATAGAATGCAGCTAAAGGAAAGTAGGATTTCAGTGCCAATCATCTTAAAGATGCACTGTCTCTCTTCATAGGACTATGTTGGGCTCTGCATCAAAGTTGCACAAAATTAGAAAAATGCTTCTCTAAGAGGGCCTGTTTTAAATTTGAGTAGTATATTTCAATGTAAAATTTAGAATTCAGATTGTAGCTAGTTGAAAAACAAAAAAACTTGAATTACAAATTACCTCCTTGTACATTATTGGCCATAGATAACTTGAAAGATATTACCAGTAATTTAATGCAATCCTTTTCTAATTATTAGCCACTGGAAGAATTAGCAGTGTCCCAGGTCACAGCCCCTTTTTGTGTTAGATACAATGTAGATTATCTGCTTTTTTATTGATTTAAGATATCTAATTGCTGTGTTTTGTGCAAAAACTTAGTGATGACAGCCCTGTCTTTTGTTGTAATCTTAATAATTTCTCAGGATATTTTGCACTGTTGAGAAGCAGTGCCATTACCAATTAATTCTTGCCAGGAGTGAGAGAGAATTGCATCTTTAATTGAAACATAGTTAAAATAACTGCTTGTATAAAGTTCTTCCTTTTTTTTATACTGGAAGATACTGTATTTCTTTAATGAAGTTCACTCTGGTGTTCTATAATATTGTCCAGTGTATGGTTTACTTTTCCATATTAATTCCATGTATTTATAATGAGATATTGTCTCCCATTTTGTTACACATTTTGAAGCCAATCAACATTGGCAGGTGAATCCCTGAGGAAAAAAAAAACTTTTTCAATTTAAATTTGGCATGCACAGGTAAATATAAGTAGCCAGTCATTTATTACCTGGACTTATTAAACATCACATATTATTAGTATGTGCAGTTTCCTGAAGATGTTTTATTAGCCTATTTTGCAAGAAATCTTTTCTGAATGAGTAATGCATTTCAGTTTTGTGTAATAATGGCTAGTGGGAAATACTGTTTACTATAGATGATGTGGATGTGGAGGTATTACAAGAAGATTACATTGAGTTTGCTCAGCCAAGAGAACTATTTCTAGAAGCTTTGTAATCACAGCAAATTGAAATGGAGACATGCTTATTCTGTATGGGTCTTCATATCACATTTTTCTCAAAACCACACCAGGCAATATTCTGAACTGTTAACTAGGTGTTTAAAAACAAGAATTGAATTCAATAATCCTCAGTGAACAGGTTTTAAAGTTGTTTTGATGTAATTTTAACAGACTTTTGGCAAACATGCATTTCTTTATATACAATATTTATTTTAAGAAAACTCTTTGAAAGGTAAACCAAGTGTCATATGTCTGCTTGCTGAATGGGGATTGCATCAAAGTACATTCTTACCATCAATTGCCTGTAATGTTGGAGAGGGCTTTTTTAAAATGTATGAATGAGTATCAGACTCAAGAGTCTAAAGATGCACTGACCTTTTGTTTGCGCCCCATATTAATTTGAATGTTAAACAAAAAAAATACTTATTAAATTTGTACAATGGACAATTTTCTCCATTTACAGACTGCTATTCAAAACTAGAAAATATAAGTCTGTTTTTATGTGTGTACTCTGTGTATATACCGTATAATACACACACGTTCTAATTTATATTTGAAAGAGAGAAAAATATATTATTTATTTCTAAAAATCATTTTTCTTTACCAGTGATTTATCAGGTGTCTCCTGACAAGTCAGGAAAAAGGTTTAGATAAAACACTAAACCAACATGTATTATACTGTATGTACTGTACACACCATTTAAGTTTCCTCCATATTTTTAAGGTATTTTCTCACCTATTTTATTTATTAAGGGGGGGAAAAAGCTTAGTTGGGTGTGCTCATGGTTGAAAACTTTCTGTGGTGAGCTACATATTTTCATTTGGTGGATTCTGGATGATGATATGAGTAACTTCGTCCAGTCCAGGTGAGCAGAGATCACCAGGTTTTAATTTACCTGGAAGTATTTGGGCTGATTCTCTTGTCACTTACATTAGTGGAAGCCACGAGCATCTTCCGTGGTGCCGGTGGCATTATACTAGGACTAAACTGGTGTAAGGGTGGGGAAAATCAGGCCCATTAATACTGAATGGACTTAAGTAGGATGAAGTAATAATGTAAACAATAGAATGTTGATGGCAAAACAATGTAATATTATTTTTAATGATATTATTATCAACATTTTTAAAAATCTGATGTCATTTACATGTGGGAAAATAGCTAAAAAAATATTTCCACTTAAATTTTGTGTATATGTGTGGTACATAAGTATTTCTATGTATACGTACACACACACATGTATGTACAGTACATGGAACAATTTAGATGTGCACATTTTTAATATTTTCCTATTGAAATTAAATTTAAAATTGGAAATTAATATTTGAGAATTTCTTTTCTCATACAGTAGAGATGCTTGATTTCATTTTTTTTAAATAATAAAATCTGCTGAGGGCTGCACCTTTAAATTCCCAAATAGTCATCAAACATGGATATGGGATAAGGTGGACATAAGTGCACATATAAATAAAATCCTATTGTTAAGAGTATTTTAAATGTTAATTTACAGTAGGTAAGTGTTTAGAAATAGTAATCTAAAGTTCATATTTAGGTGGTTATACCTACTGTAGCCTCTCCACTTCTGTATCAAGATACTAGTTTGCATATTTGTAAAATTAATTTTCCCAGAGACAGGTATTATGCATTGTATTGATCTTTAGAGGAAAGCGTGGGAATATATATGCCAGAAAGTAGTAATGGGTACTGGAACCTGACAATTTTAACAGAAACATACACAGGAGAGGAGAGCAATCACATTGTGTATAACTTGTTATATGACAACTATGGAGTCTTGTAAAAAATGCAAAAAAAAAAATCCCAACAAAAACAAAAGAAAAAACAAAAATACAGTTTTTATTTTGAAATACACTTGCTGTTCTCTGGAAAATGTACTTTTTCTCTTTATTTTTTTCTTAAATCTTTTTAAAGTATTAAAACATGTGCAAATGATAGCAGCAGTTACCTTAATCCTTCAGGTGCTACTGGATTTTGCATTAGCGTGTCATGTTGTGAAATCCTGACTTCGACATAAAAAGTTTTATAACTATACCCTAGTCTGGAAAGTTAGTTTTTGAATTGTCTCTTTCAATAATCCATATGCTGAAATGATCCAAAAGTTGTTTTATTTTATATAGATGTATTTAAACCTGCCAACATTAATACAAACCATAAATTCTAGCTCTCAGCAAACTTCCAAGGAAAATAAAATAATTAAACAGCAATGGATGCTACATGAAGCAAGGAAGAGGTCAGATTTGATTTATGTAAAATCTGTAAGAGGGAATACTTTCAGATAAGTTGTTTAAAGTGGCACATACAAAGAGGCAATCAAAAGTTGAGCTGGCTGGGACTATTGTTATGATGGTGACATTTGTAGAAGGTAATTTTTATTTTAAAGAAAGAATCAAAATCCTTCAATTAAGAGAGAATATTTTAATCTCTTTCCTTCATTTGCCAATCCTAGAAAGTTTTCCTTTTCCTAACTTTTTCCTGCCAATTAGAGCTTAAATCCAGGTTTAACTTTAACAAATGTGTGAACTTCAGTTTGTTCCATCATCATCTTTGTTTCTGTGCTAAAAAGGCTGCTGAATAATGCATCGTAAGTGTTATATTCTTTGAGGAAGTTGCTTTCAGTCAAGTACACAATCTGTATCAGGTTATCATCACAAGCTCAACCTAGGAGCCAAAATGGAAAAGGCTGCAATCTTTTCTTGTCATTCACAGTTCTGCAAGTAATTAAAAATGATGATGAATGCTTCATTGGATTAGAATACAGCCATATCTAAATCTGATTAGAGAATGGCTTGGAACTATTAGTGATAGTTTGAAAAAATCAGACCCACTCTGGGCAGAGGTGCATGTGCATGTGCACTCACAGGAAATAAAGGTGCCAATTAGGCACCCCGTTGTACACTCATATACTCAAAACAAGAAGATTGTTTCTGATTGGCTGTTTGCACTTTCTGATAGTGTTGAATCTGTGCATGAACTTGCAGTGGTACAAAGCTGGGAACTAGTTGGTGAATAATATTTCAAAAACCTCTAATCCCATTCGATTAAATCAGTACCTGGATTTACTTCTACTCCAAATGAGTTATAGTAGAAATCACTTTGATTCAGTATGGAAATTGTATAGGCAGAGTAAGTAGAATTTATGGTACAGATCCTGGATCCCAGTCTAGCTGCTTTCCACTATTCTGGCATTGCAGAGCAACTGGGAAGCTGGCTTTACTCACCATAGGATCAAGTGTCTAGGTGGAATAGTGGGCATTGGTGTATGGGGAAAAAAACATGGCTTGGAACCACTATATCAAACTAATTTCTAACTGCCCACATGACCCTTTGGGGTCTAGGCAACCAGTCCTAGGATCACAAGAGTTTAGGCGTTGTTTAAATCCATCTTCACCCCTCATAGTCTGGTCTTGCACTAAGCGGTATGTTGCTAGACCAGTAAGTCTTAGTTTTTAGTATTATTTTAACACATCAGTTCATGTGTTTGTCAATAAGGGAAAGAACATATTTTTTATTCTTAAGGAATCCCAAGAGATTTCTGTGATGGATGTCCTCACATGACACAGACTGAAACCAGACAAGGACGCCTGGCTGGCAGGGCAGAACACGCTGCTCCAGAACTGTGGATCTGCAACTATGTTCAGGAAGAAGATTCTGCTTTTCTTTGTTCTTCACGCCATTCAAACTCTGAATACATCTAGACTGACTAGAGAAGCTGCTGGTCAAGGGAGTGTCAGCAGGGAGCTTCATACAGTCTGGATCATATGATAACTATTAAGCATATTTCAGAATGAATATATTTTTTAAACATATTAGGAATATTGCTAACCCAAAAATACCATTTTCTCATGGCCTTTACTAGCTGACGTGTAGAGTATACTTGGTGTTGTCTTTGCTGTTCATAGTGACTAAACACTCTCTTCTGTTTTGAAGACACAGCACCTGTGAGCTATTTGTAGCTTGTACCTTTATGCTATTTACCTGACTGCTAAGTATTGGTGGGGGTTTTCTCCCTTCAATGTTGAGACAGTTTAGGAGGAACCACTGGCAAACACTTCATCTGGCTAGCCGGCCATGGTTCTTCAATGCCTAACTACTCCATGCCTTCCTTCTGCAGTCTGCCTCACCTTAGCTGCTCCTGGGAGGCACAGATTGACAGAACAGCAACCCGGAAGGTTTGCAGAAAAGGACTTACATTTCTGTGAATGTGGGAATTTTTAATACGGACCAGATTCTCTGTCTAGCTCAAGCAGTGCCAGCGCCTGCAGTAGCTGATGCAGGGATTCAAGAACTTCTGTCAACAAAGGATGCTGCCAGGTTCAGGGGATTGAGGGAGAATGGTGCTCCAAGGTCAGCTTGTCTCTGTCCCATTTTTACTGGAGGTATCTGACACCAACTAGGATACCTTTTTTCAATTAATTTTTGCTCAGCCAAACTTATGGTAGAGATGCATGTGCTAATTTGTTTTGGCGTTTGGGCCAGGCATTAGGGGTACCCAGAGCATTGGCTGATTTTAATTTCCTCATGACAAAAGGAACATCTCAAAAGAAAACAATCAAACCATGCCATTCATTTTCTCTGTTATACCTGCCCAGTATAAGGTCTGGTCTCTACCAATCTCTGTTCTTGGTAACCCAGCTTAGGGTTTGCTTATACTACAATGAGAGATATAATAGCAACAGTAGCTTTACTTAATATGGGTAAAGAGAGCAGTGCGGATGATAGCATGGAGTTCAGCAATCCTTTCACGGCTTGAAAGCTGGCTGGAAAGGGGTTTGGAGCATGAGCGAAGAAACTCACCTGATATGTCGAGGGAAACCTGTACAGTCTGCATAAGCAAAGGCTGCAGGAGACACCTGATCGCAATCAATTTCTCCTTGTGGAAACAACCCACAGCTCCCTGGATTTGGA